TGGTAGCGAAGGCAGAAGATGATGGCGGCCTCCGGGTGCTCCCTGGCCGCATATAGATAACCTGTCCTCTAACAAGGGCCCAGGGATATCCGCCCACGAACACATGCACTCGGACACTCGTGCTCCACTCCCTAGTCCAGCAGCCAACAGTCCTCTCTACGCAGGCGACACTACCACCGAGAACATGCGTCCGACACAAAGCAACCGGGAGATCCCCCACCCAGTCAGGAACAGCCACAGGAGTAGCGAATGCTGACTCAGCTGAGTCTCAACTGGTAGCAATGTAGGATATCGGTCCTGATATGCCGAAACCCGATAGCCTTGCACCGCATCAAGAGTGTCAGCTAACCGAGCCGGCACGCCAAGTGGAAAAACAATGTGATCGGGCCGGTGCCCAGGAGTAACCACAACAAAGAGGGCATCGAACGGTGCGACAGGAGCAGCGATCAGGTCCTCAACTGGCACAGGACGCTGCAACGCTGGCAGCTCAACATGTCGAGGGTCCCGTGGATGGTAGGGGCGCTCCAACAAGCCAGCAAGTCGTGCAGCGACATCTGGCCCGGAGTCCCGCCTCTCGCTAGTCCCGGCTGCCCAGGCCTTTTGCATCCAGCACTTGAGACCCCTTCAGACAATGCGCAAAACCCCCCCCCCCCCAGGGAGAACCACTCGTAAGGAGAGAGGCCGAGACCGGAATCTAGAATCTCGAAGGTCACAGACCAGGAGCGGCTTGACGAGCCCCAACTCCAGCTGACACTGTGAGTCTTGGAAGTATCAAAGGGGCAAAGACCCAACTTCACGGGCCGAGCAGCAATCTCTTGTAGACTGCCAACAACACAGGCACGTCGCAAAGCCAGCTAGCTAGCTAGCAGCTAGCTCTGTGTGTGTGTGTGCGCGGGTGTTCATGTGCATGTGATTGCATGTGTACACATGCAAAAAAAAGTGCTGCATTGGCTACCCTGGAGATACAGCCTTTTGGGCAAGGGACGTCTGCCCCTTCCGTGCCTTTATGCCTTCGTTTACAGACGTTTGGAAAGACAGCTGCGATGGGTTCTTGGATGGCTATTGGTTGCTTCTTGACAGACCTGCCCCGAATGCTCTGTGTCAAGTTATCAAGCTGATGTTCCAGAGCAGTTGCCACACTGCCTGTCCTTGACCCGGCTGTTCGGCTTCGGGTGAACAAGTGTGGCACAGCACCTTGAATGGACGTCTTAGCCTTTGATGCTTCCGCAGTTAACTTCGAGGAGCATGCTCGCACACGGGAGTGCCCCTTATATAGAGTTTGCTAGGAGAGTAGTACCTTCCCGCTGTCACACCAGCTATCGACCAGGGACTGTACCCTGCTTTAGAAATCGGCAACTTAGGCACAAAGCCCTAAAACCCTGAAACGGGCCCCGTCGCCGTACAAGCTCAAATTGTGCCTGGGTCGCGGCTCGCTCGGCTCGCAGGAGACGTGCTGCCTGGGCTCCAGCCGGCCCGATGTCTCTCAGAATCCCCTTTTCAGAAGCGAGTGACTACACATCTCCCATGTACCCGGTTCAATCCTCCGGTCGTCTGGCCTCCTCGGCGCCGTGGGGCGGCTGGGGGATCCGAGCGTGAACGCAGCGGTACACCTGCATGTGTTTCGTCGCAACACAACTTTTCCAGCCCTATCTGGACAATGCCGGCAAGGCAGGCATGCGCAATCACAAGCCTAACAGAAGCTTTTGTCGAGTCGAGTTGCTCCTCACGGTGGTCTTTTCGCAGAGTGGTTGTTGGGCTGCTTCCGGTGCCTTGCTGGCATGGCAAGATCAGATCAGACTCTCCAAGTCCTGCGCGGAGACCTTCGCACTCCAAATCTTTCTGAAACTAGGCTGCTCGTTGCTCCGATTGCGAGTCCACGGGTGCTGCATCTACCGTTTCTGCTGGAAGAGATCGAGGCAAGCGCCTTGGCTGGTTGCGAAAGATGTCTGGCAAACGCCATTTTCCATGTCACTGCAAGCCTTTCGAAACCAGGCCAGACGAATGTAGTAGCTGGACACTTGCGCTGTCGCACCCCTTCGTGTCCTACAACTTCAGTACCACGAAAGCCAACTGTGAAGGTTTAGGGCTAGGCTAAACACCCTCAGCTTGCCCAAACATCCAAGACCTCGCTGAGGAGGGGCCTGGCCTTTGCGTTGCATGAATCATCAAGTCACCGAGTTTTCGGTTCCTTGCAGCCAAAGATCTGGTAGCTCCAAAAGTTGCGCGGCACTCCATCATAGTTCAACCTGCCATGTCCCGATGCCATTCCCGATCCCGCCAGCTCTCAAGGCCTTCAAGACATGCCGGAGCTTCAGATTTTGACTCCCGGTCTCTGCCAAGTCCTCAGCGCTGTCAGAGACTGTGGCTGGCAAGAACTCACAGAACTGTGTTAGCTCTGCTCGAATGGTTCCCGTGGTGCGAAGCAGAGGCAAAACCTTCGAGACTTGCTTGCGAGGCTCGTCTGTGTCGCTCTCTGCAAAAGTATCCGGCCTGGAGCGTCGCATGTAACTGACTACGACAGTGGTAACATGTGGCCCTCTAGTTGTAGCTTCTCCTGTCGCAGAACACAAAGCTTGTCTACAGTCCCGATGATGTCCGGTAAAGTTGACTTCCGACCCAAGCAGCAATCTCAAGTTTTTGAATCTGAGTATTACACTTTCCACTGTATAAAAGCATAAGTCGTCTGGGAACTCTAGGTGGTGAAACACAGTATTCTGCCAGGCAAGTGGCTGCAAAGGCGGTAAAGCTGGCGTCTCTTTGAGGACTTCCTCCTTGCATGCCTTGGCTTGCAGCTGGTGCTACATCTCTAAAGGCTGATCCAGTTCTGGCCGCCATGGCAGATCCAGAAATTTTTCTGCTTTTCAAAAGCCAAACGATGATGCGGCAGGGGAGTGCTGCAGTGCAGTGCACCACTACATGCTGCAGAATCACAGTGACAACAAAACGCCACTGATGCGCAAAACAACATAAGCTTGACAGTAGTTGCATGATTGTTCTTGCGAGCAAGACTCCAGCATCGGAGCCGCAACACTACTCGCTATCTGCACTTCCGCAACCAAGGCTTAACTAAGTGACGTCAACTTGAGGCATGTACGGACAACGCCTTGGTGATCCTTTGGCGGTGGCTCGGGCGCGGCGCTTGGCACTCGCTTGGCAATCAAGCTGATCCGGAAGCGATCGGTTCTTGCCACCAAAGCGCATCCTTCGCTTCCAATTTAGGCATAACGCCTCGTTCGCACGTCAGAGCATCAGAGGTACGGAGCTAAACATGTTCTGCACAAGTTCGATCATAGTTTTTACCACGTGGTGTGATGCCCTTGCAAGTGTTTGGGACGGAGGACTGGAGAATCCATCTGATTGACTTCCCGAGTTTGGGGGTCAGCTAGCAAGTACAACCTGCAAAGTAGCACTCAAATGCACTCAACTTGCGAATCCAGCAACCACACCCGAGTCAAGTCCAGTGATAAGAAAGGCTACACACATTCATCCTTCATCGCCTGAAGATGCCTTATGTCACTCAAAAACTTCTTCCGATGCCCACCTCGGGCGAGATCGGCTACACCCTCCGCACGCAGGAACTTCAAACGAAGCCTGTTGGCAACCTGGCGTATGGCGGTCGGAGGATACAGTCGAACACTTCGAATTTGGATCAGGCTCTTATTTCATCGCCTCCGACATAGGTAGCCGACTTGACGAGAAACTGCACCAACAGGCCAAGAACATCAGTCGTGCCACTGGGGCCGCGGCTACCAATGAAATCTGCATACTGCTGTGCTGCGTCACGTCGTTGGCACAAACGAGCCTCAGCTCATCCACACAGCGCCCCGCAGCGTACAAACAAGGGAAAAGGTGCGTGAAGTGCTTGAAAAGACGGTCTCAAGATCGCATTGCTGACAGGGCGGCTCGTCGCCCCGCTGAACCGTCGGAAGGCCTTGGTGCTCGCGCTGCAGTTGCCACCTTCCGGCCGGCGAGTCCGGGTCGATGCCCACGACGATAAGCCTCTCAGCAAAATGCAGAGAATCTCGAAACCCCCACCTGTTTCTCATCACTTCTCCCGCCAGCCTCTGCTCGCAGAATGCTTTGCTATGCCATGCGAATCCCCAGGCTTCTCCTTGGGAAACAAGAGAAGCCGCGTGCCAGCCACTGTAGAATTGTCCACTCCAACTCCCTCTCCTGGAAGCCGCTCGAGGCAGACCTGTCACAGCCGAGCCAAACCCAGCCGCACCTAGCAGACCTAGCACTCGCTATCCTCTCGGAGTGGACTTCGTGCGCCTCAAGGCCATTGCGGCGCGAATCTTCGTCGCACTTTTCGGGTTCTGGCTCTGGCAGATCTTCTCTGGCCTGTGAATAACGGCCGAGGGAATGATGGAGACAAGTGAAGCAAACATGTTGCTGTCCTTGTGTCTGCGATCCTGCTCGATGTCTGTTGCTTTCTCTGGCACAGACACCGGTGAGGCGTCTTCGATGTCTTTTGGGCTGCTTGGAACGCAATCAAGAGCCGAGTGCGCCTTGGCAGAAAGATTTTGAGCACAGGTATGCACAGGTCGTCGTCTTGGTGAAAATCTGAAAATGTCTCTTCATCTCAAGTTGAGGCACTTCGTAGCAGTATGTGATAATTCCAGCTGCAAAAGTGGCGGCTGCCAGAATGAGGACCAAGACATCGAGAGGCACCTGCAGGGCAGGGTACAGTGACAGTGGGGGCCATCAAACTCAAAAGACATCTCTTAACTCGCAATTCCAAGACGTGGCGACCGAGTACCAAGACTTGCCCACACGCTAGAAAGGACCGATTGCATTGTTGATTACACAGTCAGTCGCACTGGCTTTTTTCATCTTTTCTATGCCATGCCAATCCTGTTCCTGTGTCCCTGTGCCTGCCGGGCTACTTGTTCCCAGATCCCGGCCGCTGTCTCCATGGCTCCTTGCAAACCTTGTCAAAAGTTGCTGCACCCGTCCACGGTCAGGTCAAGGCTAAGACCCAGAAAAAGAAGAAACAGGGCGACTGGCCTGGGGTGGGTCACCACAGCCTCTTGGACGATCCATGCACTGCAAAAGCAGTGTTTCGGCTGCGCTCCCCTTTCTCCGAGCCAAACATTGAACAGGTTCACTGCTTTCGTGGAAATCGTGGAATGCGAGGAACCCGGGTCAGGTCAAAATCACTATCTGCCAAAGCCCCGCGGCTGTTCCGCTGTTGTGAGCAAACCGAGCCGGCAGCCCATCTTGCTCAATTTTGCCCGGATGTCTTTGGCTGCCTCGGGGCGGCTGCAAGTGCAGAGCTGAAGGGAATGTGAACAATGAGAAGTTCGTTGGGTATCATCTCGCTGGCAAGGAATGAAAGCGACCGCATGGTGTTGAAGCAAAACTCGCAGATCAAGGCCTCCCAAAGGTCTGCAGAACTTGTCCGGCCATCACCTGCGCCGGACTTCCGTGAATCTGCCCGTTCTGAATTGAACCGAGGCTCAACCCACCATTCCTTCGCCATGGAAGCAGTCGAAGCCAAGCATCCCCAAATTCCAAAAATTCCGTCGACCCCAAACTAATCTGCGTGCACCTTGCTTGGCTTTGCCCACACCGTTCCGCGCTACAGCGGGGCTACGGCTCCGGCTTCGGGGGCCTGAAGCAGCGAAAAACAGTTTTACTGTGTCTTTCGTAGGGCGTGACGTCGGCTATCATGGGCCATTTGTACCCTTCTTATTCCCTTTGTCTCTTCTTCTCTTTCCGGGCTTAAGGGCCAATCTCAGTCACAAACGTTGCACCTCCATCCTCAAGGCAGTTAGTAGAACCCTTGCCCATTTTGGGTGATAATATCACCAGTCAACCCATTAGACGATTATTCCTATCCTCCCCCCTACACCTCACCGACTATATCACCGCTATATCACC